AGATGCTTATAAACAAGAATCGCTCGTTCTCGATACATCAGGCTTTCCTTCATCAATCTTTCAATTGGAACAGCTAACATCTTTGACTCTTCAATATCAAGCGATTAAAACTGTTCCCGATGCCATCAAACAGCTTCGATATTTGAGCGAACTCAATTTGAGTCATTGCATTGAATTGGAAACAATCAGTTCAGAAGTCGGATTATTACCACTGAAAGAACTGAATTTAACTGGATGTGTTTCGTTGAAAACGCCACCAACGGAAATCATTCGTCGTGGATTTACACAGACAATGGCGTTTTTACAACGATTGATCAGCGGTTCGACGACATGCAAGCGAACAAAACTTATGTTAGTAGGTCTGGGAGGTGCGGGAAAAACAAGTTTAGTTCGAGCTTTTCTCGCCTCTCATTCCGATTCGACGCCAGCAGTAACCGATGGCATTGATATTCTCAAATGGAAAGTACCGCTGGGTGAACCTGATGATGTACTTGAATTCAGTGTTTGGGATTTTGCTGGGCAATCGGTTTACTATCATACGCATCAAGTAGGAGATTTTCATTGATTTGACTTTGTGCGCAAATATGTCGTGATATTTAGTTCTTTTTGGCAAAGAAAGCTGTTTATGTCTTAGCTTGGAATATTCGTTTGGGCGCTGAACACGCTGGTCTTGACTTTTGGCTTTCATCGATCTGTTGCCATGCACCAAATGCACCTATTTTCGTTGTCGGTACTCACATGGATCAAGTCTCTCGTATTGATTTGCGGCAAGATGATCTCAAACGACGCTATCCTCAAATCTCTGAATTTATCAATGTTAGCACACACACAGGAGAAAATGTTGACAGTTTAATCGAAAATATCATTCGAACAACACTCGCATTACCTTACATGGACGAACAAATCCCCAAAGCATGGTTAAAATTTGAAAACATCATCACTACACATAAGGAAGACATTCTAGAATACAAAGAAGTGGAAGAAATCGCTCATGAAGCTGGAATATTCGAACCCGATGAAGTCTTACAATCAGTTCAATTTCTTCATGATCTCGGCTCGCTACAATATTTTGCATCGGAACAGTTGAAAAATTACGTTGTCATCAATCCACAATGGATTGTCAATGTTATGGCTTGTATTGTCAGTATTAAAGATAGTCCCGTCAAGGATGGACGATTGAATTATTCAGATGTTGGAATTATTTGGAAAGATTATCGGGAAGAGTTACATCCTTGGATATTGAAATTAACCGAAGCATTTGATTTAACATTTCCCGTACCTGATCAGAATATGAATTTAGTACCATGTTTGTTGCCAGAAGAAGAACCGGAGGTTTGCTGACTTTGTCATATTAAATAGTTTAGTTGGAATTTGTTTTCAGTATACATGGAACGAAGACAATACCGATCCAGAACATCGAGAATTGAAATTTATGTACACATTCAATTATCTTCCTGGTGGGTTTAGCTTTATGCGCGTTTTCTAGTGACTAATGTTCGCTTTTTTTATATTGTAGCGGGTTTATTCAATCGAGCACAGGTTCGACTTTTTCAATTTTCGGATAAATCCACAATTTGGCGATATGGTTCATTATTAGTTAAGAATAATCATCGAGCAGTTGTAATCCGTTCTGATGGTTCGCTCGCTATCTCATTCATTCGTTTCATATCTACGTTTTCTTTGTTTAGATCGGCATATTATCATTAAAATTCAAGGTGTTCGGCCAGATAATATTCTTTTCCTCATTCATGAAGTTTTCGAAGGGCTCGTCAATGAATCGTTCTTCGGTGTTACATATGACATTGCATTTCCATGTCCAGATTGTGTTGAACTCGTAAAAATCCATTTCTCAAAAGATATTCTCGAATGAAACTCCTTTTTTTCTTCGAAGGGTACCAATGAACCATGGCAATTCTCCTCTTCATTAATTAATCGCGCTATTGAACTGAAGTCGCCATCAATTCAATGCCATCGTTTCTTTCATGTAGCATCTGTTACTGATTGTACGACTGACTTTCTTTCGCTATCTTTCATTGATGAATATATTTCTATTCCTTAGTACAAGCACTGGTTCCACCTGATAGTAAAAGTAATTATGATTTACATTTGGAATATTCCGTACGTGATCTGAAATCTTACAAACAAAACGTGGCAGTGGATATCGTCTATCTCTATCCAGCTGAGCATATTCCAACGGCAAATGAAATTGAAATGAAAGTCGATCCGAGAAAAATCAACGATGATCTCACAAGTATATCAATAGTTTTTCGGAAATCTCTGTTCAGAAAGCATTCTTGTCTGATTGAAATTTAGAACGCGGTTTGAAAATTTGGTCACCTGACTCGATGAAAGAATTCAAAATTGAAAATCATTATTTAGTCATTAAAGAAGCCAAATCTATTCTCTTTGGTATTTCAACCGAATTGCTTCAGAATGCTGAAAATAGAAATCTCTGCGATGCTCTACAAACCATTCTGAACATTTTACGCAAACCAATCATTCCGATTCTATTTGGAACGGATGCGAAATGGAAGGAGAGTGACATCGGCGTCGTCTTATCAGACAAACTCTATGTTAATATGCAAAATCCGAAACGATATGACAATCGTATTCTTGAATTAGTCGATTTAATTGAACAGGAGAACGAGGGTAACAATAAGAGTAAACAACAATTACGTGATGAACCAACAGACGTATTCATCAGTTATTGTTGGGCGAATTCACACGATGCTGTTCATAAAGGTGTGTGTATTTTTTTATTTGAACAGTTGCGTAAAGATTTCCTATGCTAGGAACGAAACCAACTGCTACTTCCATTGGTTGGGCAGATCCACGATCTTTGAAAGTAAGATTTATTATTTGAACACATGTCATATGAATTGTATTGCTCGAATAGGATTATCTGGAAGGACGTGGTCTGAGTGTTTGGATGGATATTACTCGTCTAGGCAATTCTGGTGTACTTCATGAAATTGTTCAAGTACGAAAAATGCATAAGATGTTCTTTGATATCCAGTATTCGATATGTTTATTTAGGGTTTGAAAAATACTCGATTGGTCATTGCATGTGTATCCGATGAATACACACAAAGTGAAGTTTGTCGAAATGAATTTCTCTTTGCTAAAAATACTCTTCGACTACCTGTTATTCTCGCTGTGTTTGGCAACGGAGATAAGTGGCGAACGACTGAAGTTGGCATGTGTAGTTTGACTTGTCAGCAGATCAATTTTCAATTCGAAAATCCTACTGCTTTCGAAGACATCTTTGTTTTGATACAGAACGATCTACCAAAGCGGAACACCTCAATGAAAGATGCATCGAACGCCAAATCAACAGTAGAAACTGCACAGAAAACCACTGAAGCCTATCATGTTTGTAAACCAATATCAATTTTACGAATACATCAATGGATATTTTTAGGAACTGTTCGAATTGACACAACGAAAATTTCTTCGGCTGACAGCGGGCTTTGCTGAGACGATGACCACACGAGCATATCCTCGTTTATTCGCTGTAGATTTCATACGTGAAAAAGAGAAATCTGCTCAGGAGTTACTTCGCATAGAAATTGCCAATCAAATGAATTCTCAACATGCACAACAGGTAGACCACAAAGAGGATAATGCACGGGACGAAGAAGCAGAACGACAACGTGATAAAGAAGTCCGTGAAGCGGAAAGACAAACACAATCTCAAGATGAACCTCCTCCGGAAAAAGCGAAAAAGTTATGCATACGTGCACTTTGTGAAAATGAAGAAAACTGGCATGCAGCGGGCTCTCCGTTTGAGATAACCGATAAAGTTATTTTACAAAATAGTGTTTGCTATCTCACGCGTATTATGCTTCTTTTGAAACAAAGTGACCTAGCATTGGAAATTCTCACGACTGATGAAGGCGAAGCTGAATTACGAAAACTTGATGAGGTAAGAATAGAAAAATTTGTCACAGAAATGGATTTTGAATTCGTTTCGTTGATGAATAGCTCGCCAGTTCGATGAATATGGAAGTGAAAGAATCTTACGGACATTTACGCCGATGGATTATGGACTGTGATACAGAGGAAAAATTGACTGGCTTGAAACAATGTTTAATGCCATCCGGAAAAGTTTTATGGCTTTGTGAAGAACATCAAAACCAACCACGTATTACACTTGTCACAGGGTCAGTTACCGGTGGTTATACTCGTCCACAAGCTGAAGAGAAGAGTGAAATCGTAAAAGCTTTGGCGAAAATCAATTCACGAAGTATTTCATTCTTTTTGTCGATAGATTTTACAATGATTATTGCGTTGTTTTTCCTTCTTTTATCTAGTTGCCAATAATGAATTGTCTGCGCCTTCAGTTCGAGTTCCAGCTGCGGATAGTACTCGTCGTGGATCATCCGATCGACGACAGTCGCACAGGTACAGCCGACAGGAATCGACGTTGATTAAACCTCAAACGAAGAGTCTTCGAGAAGTCGATGAAAGTAAACAGAAAGACGACGATGCTGATTATAATGAAAGAATTTCAACTACAAAAGAAAATTCGAATCAAGATGAAGAAACAGAAATGACCGCGACGAACTGCTCAATCATGTGAATGTTATATTGTCACCGTACCTCTTGTTATACCATTTCTTTTCGACTATTTCACTACCGTTCTCCGTTTCATACTTGCTTTTAACTGAATTGAATCTATTGTTTGATATGAAATTATGCATATTTTCTGTGATAAATCCATAAAATTATAAGCATTTCATTCCATACGTCGTCTGATTGTTTTTCGAAAAGATGCAAATGAATCCGACAAACTAATACTTGACTTTCTTGAATGAGTATATCTCTTACTTCATCGAAATATCGAGTGCTGGGCCTTATTATGTAAATTCATTTTTATAGATCTATTCATTCATACTTATAATTCTGCATAAAATTGAGTAAGTGCACTAGAGTATTGTATACGTATATAAAGTCAAAATACAGAGTAGATCCTTAACTAAAAACAAATCTTTTCGAAAATGGTTAGCAGAATCAGTCGTATTATTGCTGTTTTGTGTGTTTTATCGATGATAAGTCATCATGTGACAGTAGCAAATGATATTCCACCTGCTTGCTTGTCACTTAATTGGGTAGCCTGTGGAGTCAATATCGGCACGGCTTTGTATACAAAGTATTATGGTCAATGGCAAGATAGTCAAGATGTGAATGCTTTTGGTACAGTTTGTAAAACTCAATTTCGAGGATCATTCTATCGATGGAAATGGGTATGGGGTGGCCAATTTTGGTGTCCACAATTGAGCTCAACTGTTATGGGTACTTCAGAGCATTATAAAAGTCGAGAAGGAGCTATTGAACATGCTCTTCAAGATTATGTAACGAAAGCTGGACAAGCTGGTATTCTCAAACCAGAACACGTTTCGCAAACCTAAATATTAAATTAAAGAACAAAAAAAGATTTTTCAAGATTTTTTCATCGTTTTATTACGTTAAAGGAAAATAAGAAATATCAATAAAAAAAAGGTTGAGTGATACTTAATTAAAATCTAAAGGACGAAAGTATTATTATCATGTACATATGCCGAATTGGTCGTCTCGATGATCTAGTCACATGCCGACGTAACGATCGTCGAAGGTGGATGAGTAGGATGACAGGAACGTAAAGGGTTACATTTGTACATGTTTACATTGATCTTTACGTATGCATTTCTTTGTTCTTTCGCTCTCTTATTCAACGGAAGGTTTCTTGTCAAAACTTTTCGGTCAACAAAGCTGTGCTTGTATGCAAACGATTAATTTCCGCCTTCACGGTCGTCTTCATCGTTGTCGATCGATACAAGTGACTTTTGACACGAACCAATTAGAAGAGAAAGAGAAAACGACTGAGTGAAAGATTATGATTATTTCATAGACAAGAAAGAAAGACACAAACATATTACGATGATTGAAATCAGTTGAAGAGTTTTGTCAAAGTAACCGCCAATGACGAGAGGCGGAAATAATAAACATACGATGTTAGGTAAGTCATGAAAAGAAATTAGTAAACTACTAATTTGTCTACTTTTCCAAAAGGTCGTTTGATCTTTGGTGAGAAACGTAAACAACATGCATCTCCATCGCGCCATCGATCTGCAACACGAACCGGTAGAAATGCAACCGAACGCCCATCATCAGGTGGTGATAGTTCTCAGAGAAATCCAATTAATGTACATGATTGGGCTGCTTGGAGAACGCAGCTGAACGAACAGATGAGTAATGGATGTGCGGATCGAGCTGATGTAAAACAAATGCGGGAATTTCTTCATGGTAATTCATTTTATCAACAACATAGTCGAGATCCGTCTAATGGTCGATACAATGGAGTGCAACTACTCTTCTCAATTCCACATGCGAAAGTGAAAACTGATGTACTGGAAAATCCACAACGAATAGGCGATAAAAACATGCCTTGCGAAGATAATGCATTTGATCAAACCCATGCACCATCGTATACTGAGGATCATATTCCAACATCCTTCAAATCGGTCTCTCCTAGCTCACCTTTAATCCGAGATAAAACTATCAATCAGCTATTTCCGAAAAGTTTACTAGGAAATACAGGCGGTTTTCTTCGCGTTAATGAGCAAATGATTGCGAACGATGGTGCAACTCTCCAGTAATATTGATCCAAGATTCTGTTTCTATGCATATTCATTCTATTTGTGATTTTAGTCGTTCAATGCGTACGCCATTTTCAACATCGGATCGTGTACATTCAACTCTACAAAAGGCCGTCAAAGATGGTAATGTACTTGAGAAAATCAAAGCATTTGAAATGCAAGCAGCAGCTGCTGCTCAAGCTGAATCAGCAACAAAAATTAATGCTACCAATGGCATCCACCATCGCCTACAACCCATCGCACCTTCATTTCCCACGTCTCCACAGCGAACTTTAAGTCCGTCAACAAGATCTCCATTACAACAATCCGTATCTCCAATACGAATGCCGCATGAAATGCAACAGCAATATAATCGTGCCCATCGAAGTCGTAATATTCATCCGGCACAGCAACGTCGTGATGGAAATTTCGGACCACTAACAACTCGAGAATCGCGAAAAGGAGCACATGTCCTAGAGCCTGCTCATGGAGATATTATCCTCAAACGACGAACTCCTTCGCAAAAGACAGCAAACGATGACGATTATACGATCACTGCGATGAGTTCTTTGGCTCATACAATCTCACAAGGTCAACATGCACATCATCGGCAACAGCATCATCATCATCGAACAGGTACATCGCGTTCTCGACATCGACAAGAAGTAGTTCACGATAAACGTGCATCCAGTCAGAATCGGAAGAAACATCAGTCGAAAACGAAAGAATCATCATTATCTGCAACAACAAAAACGAATGGTCGTCATCGTTGGTTGAAAGGATTGAAAGATTCAGCGATCGAAGGTGGTAAAAGTGAGAAAGTTAAGCAAGACGCGGCAGTAAACAAATCCAAAAAACCTTCGAAAACAAAAAAGAAAGCGGACGAAAAAGAGAAAACTCAGTCAACAAAAAAAGTGACGTCACCTCTTACAAAAGGAAAGTCTTCTTCAACAGCCCTAGACAACAATCGTGTCTATGGTGTACCAAGTAGCATTGTTATTGAACAGACCAAATCCGAATCAACAACACCGCAATTACCCGATCGAATCGATGAGGAAAATGAGTCTGATCGCGAAGAGAAACATATCGATATTAAAAATAGTCAGAAAACATCCAAAGGTCCCGAGAAAGATTTGAATTCACCAGGTGACATATCTGTCGTATCACCTGCTACTGAAGCACGACCAACAAAACCAAAAATCCTGAAAAAACTATCGAGTGCGACAGATGGAGAAATTGGCAGCAAAGTTGACGATGAAACACGGTTTGCAAACAAAAAAACCTGTTCCTCTTTTTCGATAATTGTTCATTTAGATTCTCTCGTCCAACCGATGACCATGCACATCATTCGGAACTGAATGATGAAGACGAAGAATTAAAAAGTGAAGGCGATGTTTTCATCGAAGAATCATCAACCACACATATGAATTCTCCTAATCGACAAACATCACCTTCCATCGATGAATCTGCGCCTGAACGACGTTGGCAATGGTCGAAAGAGACTGGCGGATTAATCGACAAAGGCGCACAACGAAAGAAGAAATCGCTGATCGCATTACCGATTACATTGATTACTCGTAAAACTAAAGCCAATCAAGACGAGGAACAAACAGCATATGAAGCACCTCAATCCGAACAGCTTCCGCCACCCGTCAAGAATATTTATCCAATCAAGAAAACACAATCATCTCATCCATTGACCACCACGGATACCAATGATCATCAACCGGATACGTCGAAACAAGTTAGTAAACAAATTCTTCATGCAATCATGAACTCAATGAATAATAAGAGTACAGTCAATGCCGATGAATTCTTCGAAAATGGACCGCACACAAATCCGGAAGAGACTCATGTTAATCCTACTGATTGATCTTAACAAAATTCGTAGATTTTCAAATATTTATTCGAATATTCTGTGAAATAAAACGTGTAGAAAACTGAATTCTTAATGTTCAATTTGAACGAGTGCTGGAAACGTTTTCATACGTAAACGTTCAACTTCAGCACGTAGATATGCCACTTCTTGAGCTTGTGCTTTCGCTAGATCCACTAGACGACGACGACGAACGACCTGATGCATACGTTCTCGCTGTTCAACTTTCGATTGTTCGATAACTAAAATGACCAAAAAAAAATATCTACTCATTTCTATTTCTACAAATCTTCAAATTCTACTTCGTTGATCGATGATGTTCTTTCTTTCGTACAAATTCACGTTGGCATTCTGAAGAGCTTCATCGACAGCTAGAGTCACATTTGCTATCGAGAGATTATCACGTTGTAGTTTTTGTACATCTTCTTCTTTAAGAACTTGTTGTTCGGCAAAACGCTACAAAGGAAACGAATGAAAGTTTGAAAAAAAGATTGAAGATAATCTCCACGAACTTCTTTCATTTTTTCGATCGTAGCTTCTAACATTTGCATTTCACGTTGTTTTTGAGCTTCAAATGAGGCATCATTTGGACATGCGAGATACTCTTGGATGTTTCTTGTTACTTTCAAAAAGGTAATATCCTGTGCACGTTGTCTCAAATCAGCAATTTCATAAATTAACTTCTCTTTCTCCCTAAACAGGAAAGTGAACATGTTTGGTGTGATTCAGTGAATCATTCATTTACCATGACATGGATGTTATATCATTGATAACGCCTTTGGATTTGTCCATTTGACGAATTTTGAAGTTGGCTGATTCCTGTGAGAGAGAAAAATGACATTAGAAGTGGATTGACGTCGATTCACTAGTTTACAATGATTGATTTGTTCAAATCTTCGATTTCACGACGATGGATCAGTTCAGCATCGGTATTTCGGTATTCATTCGGGGCTAATTCAGCGGGTTGCGCTTCGATTTCAACTTGACCTTGTCTAAGGACAATTTGAACATAAAGATCAACAATATCATCAATGCGCGCATCTTTTGTTCTTAAAAAATAAAGAAATAAACATTGACGTATGATGAAAAGGGAAAACATACGTGATGAGATTATTTTGTAATTGGTCAAATTCATTATTTTTTCGATTTAATTCACCATCACGCAAACTTCGTAAACTTTTTATCATCATCTCTTCTTGTTCTTGTAGTCGTAACTGAAAGCATAACAAATATTTATGATAATCAATCAGTTCTTCGAAGAAAATCAATTATTTTCTTTAAAAACTGCTGTCCTTTTGCAGCCAGAAAACAACAGATAATGATTATCGTTTGTAAGCAGGTTGTTCTTTAGTGAGAATGATCTTTAAGTATGTGATGAATATCATGGGGACGGAGGATCAATGATAATGTAGTGAAAATATCGAGACAACATCGGACCTACCTCGAGATTATCATCATTTTCAATTGATTGAAAAAACTCTAAAGTTTCTTCATCAATATCCTAATTTATAGTAGAGGAAGAAAGAATGCTTTGTAATCATTCGATTCAATATCTGAGTGCAAATGTTGACAAGATACGACATGCTTTCTGGTCAGTGTCACATGCGAAAAAAAGATCTTTTTCATGCGTAGTTTCATTATTTTCATCCGATGGGAAATTTCGTACCTGTCGTTCGAGTTCGGTGCGTTTTCTTCTGAAGTCGACGAAACGATCCCAAACAGATCGAACGATATTCGTCGGGGCATTGGTGAACGAATCAGCTTCTGATTGAATTCGATCAAGTTCGAGTTCAATTAAACGTGCCTGTCGGGCTGAATATGGGTTGTATTCTTCTGGTGGTTTCGGTTGTTTCATTCTATAAGACAGATTCATTTTGCAAAAAAACATACAGAAGAAATTTTGATGTACTTTGATCGT